CGGGTCTAACGCTCCTGGAGCGGAGCGGCAACGCCGCGGCTGACTTGCACCTGAGCCATTCTTGAGCCGTGCATGACCAGCGCGCGAACAACGCTTGACGCGCGCTCGACCAAAGCCCGCGCCGCGCGCGGTCAGACGCGCCGCCGCGGGGCGCCGCGACGTCGCAGTACCCGAGCTACACCACAGGCTCACCAGGCTTTTGCGCCTGATCTGCGCCTGGGCGACGCTTCGGATGCGCGCAAGACATGCCGGGACAAGTCCCGAACCCCACCTGATCTAGTTTCGGATTATATTTGTGAACTACACCCGCACTGGGGTTGATCATCCATGCGTCTGCGTTGCAAGACGGTGCAGTGTCTTACATTACATTGAATTAGACCTCAGCTACGCCGACACTGGGAATGATCAGCCATGTTGCTGCGTTCGGTGACGGTGCAGCTCTTTGAGCTAGTCTTCGATTACACTTGACTTGCACCTGTACTGCACCCGAACTACACATGCAATACACTCTAACTTCACTTGAACTGCACTTGCACTACAAGTGAAGTACACCCACACAGAAAACTATCAGCTATGACATGCTGCTCTATTCCAAGACGGCACAGTGCTTGAATTGCTTGCAATACACCCGAAGTTCACCTCAACAGCGCTTGACCTCATCTGAACTATACCGCATTGATGATGATCAGCCATGGTGCTGCTTTCCGAGACGGCACAGCGCGTGATCAACCCTTGACATTCCCCTGAGCTGCATTTGGACTACACTTGGCCTACACCTGAAGTGCACTTGAACTACATTTAAACTGCGAGTGAACTACACTTGAGCTGCACCCGCACTCGGAATCCTCAGCACTGCTGTTGCGTTCCCAGACGTAGCAGCGCTTGAGCTACACTTGGACTGCATTTGAACTGCACCCCGGCTACAGCCGTATTGCACCTGATCTACACTTAAGCTACGCTTGAACCACTCTTGAACTACATGTGGGTTACACGTGGACCCGCATTGCACCCGCAATAGGAGTGATTACCCATGCTGCTGCGTCGAAGACGGCACAGGTTTTGAACTACACGTGACCACACTTGAACCGCACCAGGACTATACGCCACCTCGTGTGGATTTCATTTGAGCTACACTTCAACTACACTTGAGCTACATTCTAACCAAACTCGAACTACACGCTCCATGGGAGTGAGCAGCCATGCTGCTGTGTTCCAAGCAGGTGATCAGCTTCACTTGACATACACGCGCAATACACCTGAACTACACCTGAGCTACACTTGGATTACACCTGAACTATGCCTGGATCAAATCTGAGCGAATTACAATTAAATTACACCCGTAATGGGAGTGAACAGCCGTGGTGTTGCGTTCCAAGACGGTGCGGCGCCTGACCTACACTTGGTTTGAATGCGGCCCACACCTGAACTACGTCTGCACTACACCTGAACTGTGCTTGGATTACATTTGACGTGCACTGGCACTACACTTGAACTGCACCCGCGATGGAACAGTTCGTACATGCTGTTGCGTTCCAAGACGGTACATTGCTTCAGCTACACGTGAATCACAGTCGATCTACGTTCGCAATACACCTGAGCTGATTCGTGTTCGCCTGATGCATATTTCAGCCGGGCTTCAACTAGGCTTGATCTACGGTTGAGCTGCACCCGCAGTGGGGGCGTCCAATTTTTTATGCGTTTCGCAGTTCGCACTTCAACTTCGCACTAGCTACACCCAGTTGCTGCGTTCTGAGACGGCGCAGCGAATGGTCTACACCCCAGTTACATGTGATGTACACCTGAATTACGCCTGCACCATACTCGCACTATACCTGAGCAGCGCATGACCTACACTTGATTTGCAGTTGAACTGCACTGCGCCCGCAAAGGGAGTGACCAGTCATGCTGCTGCGTTCTACAGCCGTCCTTGGCTCGAGCTACACACGAACTCTTTCACATGCACCAGAACTTCACCTCAACTGCACTTGAATTACACTTGGGGACACATGTGATCTGTACTTGAACTGCACTTGAAGTAGAGTTGACCTGCATGCGCAATGGGAGTGAACAGCCATGCTGCTACGTCCCAGGACGGTGCAGCGCTTTAGCTACATTCGCATTACACTAGAGCAACACTTGGACTGCACCTGGATTACACCTGCAGTTTACCTGAACGCCACCTGCGCTACACTTTAACTATCTGTGAACTTTACTTGCACTATACTTGCTTTGGGCCCGCAATGGGAGCGGTCAGCCATGCTGATGCATTCCAAGACGGTACAGCGCTCGTACTCAGCCGAGATACGCCTGAATTGCACTTGGACATCATGTGAAGTACTCCTGAACTGCACTTGAATTGTTCTTGATCTACACTCGAGCTACCCTTGAAGTACACCCGCAATGTATGTGATCATCCATTCTGCTGCGCTTCAAGGCGGTACAGAACTTGAGCTAATCTTGCACGACATTTCACTTTCACATACACCACACATGACCTGCGCATAACATGCACTCGAGCCAAACTTGGATTACATGTGAATTAAAGTCGACAGCGCATGGTGCCATCCGCCCGGCAGCGGCACAACGCGCGCCCAGCACTGCGGGCGAGGCACGCGCACTGCAACCCCACTCGAAACGGCAGTTGCGAGCAACGTGCAAGTCGGATTGTGCACGCCTGCGCGCGAGTGCGAAACAACGCTCGTGCTTTAGCGCTCGAGGGCCACAACGCATACTTAACGTCAGGGCATGCCGCGCTGCGACTGCGCCGCCATGGCGCGCAATGCCACGCAATTTGCCATCACTTGCAGTAGCAGCGACACCGGCAGAACAAAGCGGGGTCAATGGGCATTCCAAACAGCAATCGGTTTGCAAATCGACGCACGACGTTTTTGAATTGCTTCTGGGTTCGCGCGCGTATTTTTCGAATTGCCCCCCCGAGTGCCTTCCAGCGTCTGCCGTGGACACCCATCGCGTCCGCGCCCGCGCGCATCTGCCAGCGCGCACGACGCCCCGCGTGCGGGCGCGGCCAGAGACCATACCATCACATCACATGAACGACAATTTTTTATTGGTGCCTGTGCCATGTTGGGCAGCGATGGTGTCGACTGTTCAGCATCACCGCGCCCATGTGGAACATGGAATACGCACACTGTACCACGCGGACATCAGATGTGTGGGTGCTTCTCCAGGATGCCGCCTTCTGTGTCCAGGGTGTCTGTATATCCATATGGTTCGCTAGTTGAAGTGCCACGTCTGCGCGTCTGCCTACAGGAGGGGAAGACGCAAGGATTAGCAGATGCGACCGCCAATGTGATCGCAATCGCAGAAGTGGTGGGGACTCAGTAGAGGTAGTCCCGGGGGTGCGCAAAGAGACTTTTTCGGGGCGTGCTTTTTGTACGGGCCAATATCATGAAGCGGGTCCGTCCAGCAGGTTGACTTCGGCGTTGAGGTATTTGCAAAGGTCAACAACGTATTGCGTTTTTGCTCTTACCCGCTCAAGTCGCGCCCTCAGCGGTCCGAGGCTGTCGTTACGCCCGCACCCCTCTACGGAAACGAGCGTTGGACCCCCAGTGTCGTCGGCAGGAACAGGTTGAGGGCAATTTTGCGAAAAATTGCCAGTCAGATCTTCCACGTGACCCGCGGCGAAGAGGAATTTGCATTGAGCGCGTCACGAGGGCAAAATTCCAGGCAGAATCCATGCGCACGGAATGGGGCTTTAAGAGTCCGGTCGTTGCGCATGTTTTTCGGACATGCGTGTGTGATGGTTTTATTTTTGTTTGGGTGAGGAGCAGTGGGGTCGGCTACTATCAAAATCGAAGCTTTGGTTTCGTTGCTCTGCTGTTCGTCGCCCAGGCCAACGTCAGCGTTAACGGTGCGATGCATGTTTGTACATATTCGATGCTATCAGGTTGTATCTGGTTGCGTACCGAAGGTCCATCGTTTTTGTGTGGATATCTGCAACGTGTGAGCGTCTGGGACTGAAGTTCTCACTGTCTTTGGTCGCCGCCTGCCCTTTGGAGGGGCCACCCCTCTGGAACCAGCATGCTGGCCGTGCCGTGCTGGGCTTGGAACGGCGCCCTGGCGCCGAAATTATTTGCGTTTTGCTTTGTTGTGCGCGGCGGTGGGGATGGAGGGATCGCACCGCTTTCGAAGCGGCAGCGGGGCTACGGATGTGCGCGCGGAGGAAGCGCAGGCGAATGAGGAGGGGCGACCACGAATAGGGGAAAGAAAGAGGGCGCATTCAGAACATGTAGTGGTTGGTGCTGTGTTGCCGCCTGAGGCTCCCGAAGGAGTCGTGCGAAGCAGGGTCAGATGGCAGCGCAAGTCCAGGCTGACCAGAATCTGCAACACCTGCGAAGGACAGGACCGCCCTGCCAGGATTACAGGACTGGATCGGCCATCCGAGCGAGGCTCGAATAGTATCAGGACATCCGAAAGCGATGAAACACATTGCCAAACTACACAAACAATGGTAGTACAGCATCCTCTGTAGATCCTGGGTTTACTCTGGTCCTGCCACCCCTTCCTCCTTGGATTCTACCCTGCTCCGCCCTTCCTCTGTTCGCCGTCACTCCCTCGTCGCGTCCTCCCCGTCTTCCCTCCCCTTCGCCTCGTCGTCGTTCTCGTCGTCGTCGTCCTCCCCCTCCTCCTCTTGCCCCTCCTCGTCCTTCTGCTGCTCCTGGTCCCACTAGTCCTCCTCCCCCTTGCCTGAGGGATGAGGGAGGAGGATGGAGGGATGGGTGAGGGCGGTAGTAGTGGCGAGGGACAGAGGAGGGGGGAGCAGGGGGGAGAAGAAGGAGGATGAGGAAAGAGGAGGACGGCCCTTCCTCGTCCCCTGCCGCTGCCCGTCCCCGGACCCTCTGAGTGCACAGGACTCGTGGACCCGCTAGGACTGCCCAGGATCGACTGGAATGTACACTGCAAGGCGCTGGCACAAGCTCCTGTGCTGCCCTCGGGTCCTGGGGAGGTCCTGCGCCCCACCCCCCCGACGCCGGCCCGAGGACAAGGGCCCGGTGCAGGGCCAGACCATCCAGGCGAGAAGGAAGGAGGAGAACAAGGCGGCCAGCGGGGAGCCTCTCCTCGGACTGTTCGAGCTGTCTCCGTCGATGTTGTCGAGGAGTACGAGCATCAGGAGGAGCAGGATCTACGGGAGGAACAAGCCCAGAGACGATGCGTGGGCCCTGGAGCTCTGAACCACTTCCCCAGGACCGGCTTTTCGTCCTGAGTGGCTTTTTGATGTTCCCGAGGATCCGCGAGGGCCCTTGGAGACGAAAACAGCTGAAAACCGCACGCTCCAATTTTCGGCTGTTTTCGGCCTCCGGGGGCCCTCGCCAGGCCTCGGGACCGTCAAAAAACGACTCAGGACGAAACGGCGGTCCGAGGAAAGTGGTCCAGACAGACCTCCAGGGCCCACGCCCGAGGAGTGAATGGGTTAGTCAGGTCGCCAAGCGCGCTGCTGTGATTGGAGAGAACATTCATTTTGAGTCCGGCTGGAGGGCCGGCGTGAGCCGACATTGCATTTTCTAGTTTTGTCTACACGCTTTTCGGCGTACGACTTGTGAGTGAGTGGGTGAGTGAGTGATGTCTGGGAGAGGCGGAGAAGGAGGCCCTTCTCGTCCGTAGTGGAACAGTTGGGTATCTCGTGATGCAGCACAGGGCGGTGACTTGCTGCCGCTGGCTCGCCGCGCGGGCCAACTGCGCAGGGCCACGTCGACTAGTTGGCAACAGCCTGAAGGATCACGCTCTTTTCCCCGCCCAGACCTTCGACGGAGCGTTGCTTTATAGTGAGGCATCCAGAAGTTTAGACCACTCCCCTGCGACGGGATTCTCATCCCAGACTGTTTTTTCGACGGTCCCGGGGCCCAGCGAAGGCCCCCGTGGTGGCCCAAGCGTGTAGGGCATTCTGGGCATCGTTTTTCACACGGCTCGACGAGGTCTGCGTTTCGCCATTTCCTTCTGCGGGCGAAGATCGTCCTCCTTGGAAAAATCACGGAGCATTGAGCCAGCGGGATCCTGATCACAGTTCGCTTCCCTCGCCTGGAGGCCCGGGTGGCCAACCACAACCGCCGCGCCGGCGCGATGGCCAAGATGCGCAAGGGCATGCTCTGACCCCGCCGCGGCCGGTGGGGCCAGCCCCGAGGCCATGTGTGACCGAGGAGGAGGAGAGGGAGGAGGAGGGCGAGTACCTGAGGCAGAAGGAAGGAGGAGGAGGAGGAAGAGGAGCAGGAGGAGGAGGAGGACGGGTGCAAACCAAAGACTCATCAACGATGTTGGAATACACCTTCCCTCCAAGTTCCCTCTCCATATTCCCTTGCAACGGTTCAATTCCACAGAGGGAAGTGCCCCATTGGGGGTCAACCGTGCGAAATTGTTGAAGCGTGCCAGAACTTTTCTAGACATCTACGCCACGAGTCAACCTGACTGTTGCGTCTTGACGATCCAGAATCGTGCCAGAACAATTCTGGAACTGCAGTACCGCGGGTCAACATAACTGCTGCGCCCTGACAATCCCGAATCGCTCCAAAACATCATTTCTGGTACGTTGACAATTTGACTCAGTGGAATTTCTACAGGTGTTTACAATGAGCGTGCGCGACGCTAATGCAAGAGTCACGTGTTTAAAAAGAGCCGCCTTCAATCCGTGGAGGTCTGACACATGTTTGAAACGAATGCGCGCGGCGTTGAGGTGAATCTAAGTTCAAAAGAAACTGCTTTCAATCCGTGAAGCTCTTGCAAGTTTTTGAAACGAACGTGGGCGGCGCGCTGGCGAGAGCCTCACTTTGAAAAGGAACCGCCTTCAATTCGTGAAACCCCTGCAAAATTTGAAAATGTGCGCGGCGCAGGTGCGAGAGCCAAATTTTGAACACGACTTGTCCTCAACTCGCGAAGCCCATGCACGCTTTTGAAACGAATGCGCGCTGCGCTTAGGCGAAGGCTACATTTTGGAAAACACCCGCCCTCCATGCGTGAAATTGTTGGCAACTGAAGTCTCAGGCGAAACTCCCAGCCCGCCATTCGATTGGCCTCCGGATGCGGCAGGGAGGAATGGGGAGGCGGTGGAGGAGGAGGAGCAGGAAGGAGCAGGACAAGCATCCGATGCTTGGGTTCTACACGTGTCCACGGTTGGGGGACTGATCTACCTGGACCCCAGGAGGCGGTGGATTTGGATCGAAGGTTGGGGGGTGTGAACGGAAGTGACCCCAACCAGGAAATCGGTTTCGGTTCGTGTCGTGCGTGCGGGCGAGGCGAAGCTGCGCGAGTTCCTGCAGTGGTAGGGGCATGGCTGCCCCCCCGTCGGCCGGCCGTGCCTCTCGGGTTGTCCCGGCGGTTTCATGGCGGTTGTCCCGATGGTTGTCCTGATGGTTGTCCCGATGGTTGTACTGATGGTTGTCCGGGCGGATGTCCCGATGGTTGTCCCGACGGTTGTCTCGATCGTTGTCCCGATGGTTGTCCCGATGGTTGTCCCGATGGTTGTCCCGATGGTTGTCCCGATGGTGGTCACGATGGTGGTCACGATGGTGGTCACGATGGTTGTCCCGATGGTTTTCCCGATGGTTTCCCCGATGGCTGTCCCGATGGCTGTCCTGGTTGTTGTGCTCGTGGTTGTCCCGATGTTTGTCCCGATGGTTTTCTTGATGTTTGTCCTGATGGTTCATAACTGGAGATCGGTAAGGAGATAGCGATATGTATATATATATATATATATATTTATATTCATGTATATGGTTTGGTAGATGGGTAAATTGATAAATAAACCTAGTGTTCGATTTATATATAGAATAGGCCCATGGGTGTTTATCAATAAATGCGTATTTATGTATATGTCGATACGGAATGTATTGACAGATCTGTATGGTGATGTACGCACATGTCGATAGAATTAGATATGTATATTCATATACATCGAATTATGTGTCAATATGTGTATATACATACACATATATATATATATGAAATAAAACATCAATCGAGATGTGGACTGGTTGATTGACATACATATGTATACCTAAACGACCATCCTTCAGGTGATAAGGTGGTTGTGTGGGGGGGGGGGGGGGGGGGGGGGCAAAAAGGGGGTGGAAACCAACATCTGACTCAATCGATCTCATTATCGATCTCACTCAATGGGACATTTGTCGATTTCACTGTCGATCTCACTATCGATCTCATTCAACGAGACATCACGGGACACCGCGGGACACCTCTCAATCTCACTATCGGTCTCACCATCGATCTCGCAATCGATCTCATTCAACGGGACACCACGGGACACTTCGGGACACCACATCGATCTCACTATCGATATCATTATCGGTCTCACTATCGAGCTCATTCAACGGGCCACCACGGGACACCGCGGGACACCACGGGAAACCACGGTACACCGCGGGACATCTCTCGGTCTCACTATCGATCTCCTTATCGATCTCACTATCGATCTCACTCGACGGGACACCACGGGACACCACGGGACACTTGTCAATCTCACGATCGATCTCAATCAACGGGACACCGCGGGACACCTCGGGACACCACATCGATCTCACTATCGATATCACGATCGGTTTCACTCAACGTACACCACGGGGCACCACGGGATACCACGGGACACCGCGGGACACCACGAGCCACCGCCAGACGAACGGACGGACGGGCGGGCGGGGAAGAATCATTTGTTTTCAGTTCGCCCTGAAAACGGCGGACACCACGGGACACCACGGGACACCACGGGACACCGCGGGACACCGCGGGACACCGCCGGACGGACGGGAGTGGGAGAATCATTTGTCTTCACCTCGCCCCAGCAACGGCGGACACAACGGGACACCACGGGACACGGCGGGACACCGCGGGCCACCGGCCGCAGGAGGAGAAACATTTGGTCCGGCCGCGGCCCAGCCACAGGAGGATTTTTGGACACCAGCGGGGCACCGGCGGGACACCGCGGGCCACCGGCCGCCGCAGGAAAAACATTTGGTCCGGCCCCGGCCCAGCCATAGGAGGATTTTTTCCCGCCCGCCCACGCAGTTTCGCCTTTCCCGCACGCACGCACGGCACGCACGACACGAACCCGAAACCGAAATCGATTTCCCGGTAGGGGGGGGTCTCTGTTTCACGTCGGACTGACCCCCCAACCTCCGATACATATATATATATATATGTATATATATATATATGTGTATATATACATGTATGCAAATCTATATGTATATATATATATGTATCGAAATGCACACATACACATCGGTAGAAAGGCATCACGACCACCACCTTTACCACCACCACCAGTACCACCACCACACCACCATCACCATCACCACCATCATTCCGAAGGTGTTTGCGCTCAAGCAGTTTAGCCGTGGTGTGGGCTGCCAGCACTCAAGCCGCAACAGCACGTCGGCTCCAGCTACTCAGGTTGGCCTGGGCCAAGCTCTGCGAGCCCTGCGCCCTACGGCGGCTCGCGCACTTCAAGCAACGCCATGGGTGCGCCGCGACTTCCCGCGCTGGGCTCGCAGAGCTCAGTCCCGCCTTCGTGATGACTGGCATCCATCTGCGCGAAACTCTCGCAAAAGTCCCTGGCCTAACGCGTCGCCTTGCAAGCGCCAGATTCGCGCAGGGGAATGCTTCTGTCGGGTATTGCATGCAGGACAACGTCTTGGTCTACTCATCCTTGGGCGGGTCAGGCCCTGCCAACCGGCCGATGGAGTTTGAGGTTCGTCGGAACTAGCATTCGCGGGACCCGAATATGCCGCTCACGGTGACGGCGATGTCCAAGGACCCGCCGCTAGATGCGGATGCGGATGCGTGGCGGATTCTACTCGCCATTGTGAAAAAGGCAACGAGTTTTTGCTACAGCGCGTCCGCCAGTATATGGAGAGGAGCTTGTCGCGACACTGCGGGTTGGGCGCCGCCGCGGCTGTTGTCTTGCCGCAGGAAGGCGGCTGCTCTAGGTTCTGCCTGCGCAGGCGCTTCGCCTGTTGACCGCACGCCTACGGCGTCTCGGCCGCGCCCTGACGCGGGGTCAGCGTCGCCGTCGGGTCTGGCAGGATTAACGCCTGTGGTGTCTTCGCCATTCCCCGCCCCCGCCGCTGGGGCCGCGTCGCCGTCGTCTCCAGCGGAGTCGCCGCGCGTCCCCGCAGACGCCGCCCCTGTGCTCTCCGCAGCAGACGCGGGAACAGCGACGGCGCATCCGCCGCCCTCTTTCGCCGTTGGTGCGGAGCCTTCGCCGATAACAGCAAGGTCGGCGAGCCGGCAGCGGAGGCCGCGCAGGGCGCCCGCGCCCCGCCGCTGGGGCCTGCGCGAGCGGGCGCGGGCGTTCCAGGCTCTGCCAGCAACCCGATGGTCTGCGATCATCTGCCTGCTGATGCGTTTGCAGATGAGGACTCGGGGGGGCCTGACTGGGGTGGGCCCGGCGACGCAGCGGCGGAAGCTGTCGTGTCGACTTCGAGAGCGCCGCGGAGTTCGCCGCGTCGCTGCTGATGCCGGTCTCTGACAGCGCAGTAGCGAGCATGCGCGCGGTTGCCGATCGCGCTGCGGCGCGCGCGGATGCGCTGCCGCTGCGCCCGCAGCTGGCAAGGCAGGTTCGGCGCGATCAGCGTGCAGAGCTGGGCGAGGTGCAGGCCATCAAGGCGCGGAAGGTCGAGCGCGTGCGCCGCCGCGCTGTTGCGGAGCACCCGAAGGGCGCGGAACTCCAGGCGGTCTTGCAAGGCGCTGCAGGCGGGGGGGCGAGGAGGAGGGGGGGGGCAAGAGGAGTGCGTGGGGGGGGGGGGGCAGGGCCGAGAACGAGGAGGATCATGGCAGTGATTGTGTAATTATGATGATGATGTCGGCGGTGCTGGCGCTGCTGGCGGTGGTGGTGGCGCTGGCGGTGGTGGCGGCTTTGCTGGTGCTGCTGGTCATGCTGGCGATGTGGTGGCGGTGGCGGTGGTGGTGGCGGCGGTGTCGGCGCTGCCAGCGATGGCGGTGGCGTTGGCGGTGATGTTGATGGTTATATTATGGTGGTCATGTTTCGGCGGCGCCGGCGGTGCTGTTCGTGATGCTGCTGGCGGTTGCGTTGTATTTTGTTCTTGATGGGGCGGAGGGGGGGGGCGGGCTGGGGGGGGGGGGGGGGGGAAGCGGGGGGGGCGATTGCTGCGGCGAGGACGGCGACCCACAGAAGGTGCCGGAAGGAGCGAGAGGGGGGGGGGATGGGGGGGGGGGCGAGGACGGGGGGCTCTCGCGAGGCATGCAGTCCGCAGCGCGCGGCGAGCCTTTCAGGTTCGATGGCGGCAGCGACCTGTCCGAGTTGCCGAGGCCGCCAGGCTCTGCCGGCGGCGGCGCGCGGGAGTTCCTGGCCGCCGCGCGCAAGCCCTCTGCGCAGGTCATGCGTCTCCAGGCGGGCCGGGAGCACTGCGTGGACCTCCAGGCTGCGGGCTCCAGTTTGCTCGAGGGCCTTCCAGCGAGTGGCGGGCTTCAGTTCGGCGACAACCACTTCCAGTCCGCGGAGGGTCGCGCGCATTTGCTTGCGGGCTCGCCGACGGGCCATTCGGGCGAGCTCGCCGAGCTGGGTCGCAAGCGCTCGGACTGGGAGCTGCGCGCTGCGGCGCCAGGCTCTGCCAGCGCAGCGCCCCCCGCAGGCGCGCGCGCCTGGCGGGCGGTTTTGCCGCGGCGGCGGCAAGCCTGCGGAGAGAGAATTTCGGCGCCAAATTCGGTTGCCACGGCGGCGAGCGCGACATCGCACTCCAAATTGACATCCGGATCTCGACCGAAGCTCGTCAGCGCGGCGTCCGTCGCGACGATCTGGCCAAACTGGGGCGCTAAGGTCGCCCGCGCTCGCGCCCCTTGCCGCGGGGCCGACGCATTCGAGCGGCGCCGCGCCGGAGCGGCGGTCAGTCCAGGGGGGCCGATGCGGGCTCCTAAGGCGCAGTTCGCGGCCGCGCAATTGCATTGCTTGTGTCGCGCACGCTGCGTCGTGGTGACGAAGCGGCACGTGACCTCGGCATCGCCAGCCTCTGCCAGCGCCGCCATTGGCACGTCGTCGAGCGGTTTCCGGGCGTCGCAGTTGTGGGCGCGCGTCGGCATGAGCGGAGAGCAGATCGTGAAGGGGTGCGCGGCCGCCATGGGCGTTGCGAATCAGCAAACGACGGCAATCTTCGATGGGAACGGCGCGCCCGTGCGCGCGTTCTGCGGGGCATGAGCCCGCCGCGGCTGCCGCGCTCTTCTCCCTGGGCGCTGCCTGGACATGGCGCGTCGTCGAAGTGCGCGGGGCCATGTTCCTCGACGCGGGGCGCCGACCTCGCGCGCGCGGCGTTCGGCCCAGCAGTGTTAGATCGGCTTGCTCGCGTCGCTGACAGCGCGGGCCCTCTGCTCGGCGGCGTCGTCGCGCGGTCAGTGCACTCGCGCGCGGGCGCTGTCCGGGGCGGCGCGCGCGCGGCCGCGGCCTCCGCGTCGCGCATCTTCCAGGGGCTGCCGCGGAGAGCATTTGCGCCGCCAGTGCGCGGGGCGGAGCGGGGGTGCGCCAGTCGCCGACGGCGCTCCTTTGCGGGCTCTGCTTCTGCGCGGGCTCGCCGCGCTGAGGGCGGCGATGACTTTGTTGCGCGGGCGAAGCCTGTGCGCGCGGTCGCGGGCGCGCCGCCGAATGGGCTGGGCTGGGGCGCCCCCGACGGCGACGGGCCCGAGCCTCTGGAAGCGCGCCCGAAGTGGCAGCCGCTGTGGCGCGCGAGCTACTGGCGCTACAGCGCAAGCGACCGCGACCAGACATGGGACAACGTAGCGCCATTCCGCGGCACGCCAGCGGATCAGGTCTCATCGCGAGGCTTGCGCCAGGCTCTGCCAGCGCCACTCAGTAGCACGACGACGACGGCGGCGACGACGACGACGGGGATGATGATGATGATGATGATGATGATGTTGAAATGATGATGATGGTGGTGATGGTGATGGTGATGGTGATGGTGATGGCGAGGATGGTCGTGGTGATGGTGATGGTGATGATGGCGGTGACGGTGCGGATGATGATGACGATTGCGATGCTGATGATGATGGTGGTGCTGGTGACCACGACGACGACGACGGCCAAAGCGCCTGGCAGTCAGTTTGACTACCGCTCTTTCGCTCGAGCCGCGCCTGTGCTTGACCGATGCCGATGCCTTGGGTTCCTCGGGAAAGATGGTGCCCGGCTCTCGCCGCCTGCCGGGCCGCTGCCACCTCCTCGCCAGTGCCCTCACCGCCAGTGGGTGCTCTGATGGTTGTTCCGATGGTTATCCCGATGTTTGTCCGGATGATACCTTGATGGTTGATAGATCGATGGATGCATCGATCGATCGGCATATGTGTATATATACATACATATAAATATAAACATATAGACCTATACTTTGACTGAAATGCCGGTTATATAGATACATGTATACATAGATCGACTAGATCGATAGAAGGATCGGTCGGTAGACTGGTATATCGATCGACTGACATGGCGCAGCCGTTCAGGGCGCGCGCCGCGGGGGGGGGGGGGCGGGGGGGTCCATTGGCATTTTCCGCGCGCGTGTCTTCGCTACTTTTGGTGGCGCCTAACTGGGGTTGCGTCGGGCGTTTCTTCTGTTTGTTTGAGCGGGCGCACGGTCCTTCCAGGACGCCGGGAGCCCGCAGGGAACGTTGCCTGGTGACCCCAGGGCGTTGCGCCGCCCCTTTTGTCGCCCCCCCCCCCGGGCGGGACCGGGCGAAGGGGGGCGCAGGGGGGGCGCGGGCGCGGAACGCTCCGAGGCCCCTCCCCGCTCACCGCCCCCCTGGCAATATACTCGTAGAGAGCTTGAAAACGGCGCGCAATGACGCGGTTGGCCGAGGGCCCTATAGCCGCTCTCGATGAAAGATAATTGCTCTGCGTCTGGGGGGGCTTTTTTGCCCCCCCCCCAGCCCGCTCCTCTTCTTCCTGCTCGCGTACCCCAATTTGGCTTTGCCGCGGGGGGGGGCGCGGGGCCCGCCAAACCCCCCCCGGGCGGCTCTGGTTGGTTTCGATTTGTTCGGGGCGCTCCCCGCCGCTGCGAGCCGCGGTCGCGGGGGGGGGGGGCGCCCTGGCGGGTCGCGCGCGCCGGGTCCGCCCCCGCCGCGACGAACGCATCGGGCGCGTGCAGCTCGAGCGCATGCGCCTGATTATCGGCGCTCCTCGGCAAATCTGCAGCCTCGAGTTTCGACGCTTGCGCCTGGGGGTTGGGGCCGCGCCAGGCCGAGACGAAGAACTACTTCTGGCGGCGGGCAGCGCCGGCGCGAACATCGCGGAGAGGTCGCAGGCGGAACGTCGCGCGACCGCCGCGAGTGGGGGGCGCCGCCGGGCCTGACCCTGAGGAAGCACAACCCCCTCAGTGGCCAGCCGCGCTGGCAGCTTTCGCATCGCAGGGCGGGGGCGTCGTCGCCCCGCGGCCTCCAGAACATCTGCGCTGCAAATCAGTCGCCGACGGCGCGCCCGAGGGTCCCAGGGAGAGACCAGGGCACGGCCGCGAGCGCCCAGACATCGCGCGGAGTAGTTATGGGCGTCGTGTTCGTCTCCCAGTCCCAGGTTCGATGTTCGCGTGGCTATCTCCATCCCGCACGCTGCGGACCTCGATTACCATCGGACCAGGCTTTCCATGCGGGATTCGTGGAACCAGATTCAAGCTTTTGCCGCGGCATCGGCGGGGCATCTGCGTTGCGCGCGCGGGGTGCGGGGCGCTGATAATCCAGAGGCCGCATTAAAGTGATCATTTCCCCCCTCTGTGACAAAGGGGGCGTTTTTCGGAGGCCCTCTGTGACAGAGGGGGCGCGTTTGGAGGCCCTCTGTGACAGAGGGGGTGCGTTCGGAGGCTGTCTGTGACGGAGTTGCTCGTCATCCCGTTCCTCCTCATCCTGCTTCTTGATTTTGGATATGTCATGCTACCACTGCGCTCATCATCTTTGCGTCTGTGATCCTCGTCGTGTTTTTCCATGCGTCCTTTTCACAATTTCCACCTCATTATCCTCCGTTGCCGTTCTGGCCCGCCATCTACCTCGTCACTCTCCTTCGTCTGCATGTCCTCATTCTCTTCCGCTCTTTTTTCTCCCCCCTCTGGTTTGATCTCCGCTCTTCGACCACTTCGTTCTTCCGTTTCCAACCCCCCTTCCTTTCAAGTTCTCCGCCGTCCAATCACATCGCGTCGTCCGTCGCCGCTATGCTCAAACCATCCCGCGCCCGTGGGATCGCCCGCGAGCAACGGTGCAGCCGGGCCCGTCGCGGCCTAACGCGCGCCTGCGCCATCGGCTTGCAATGGGCGATGCAGGCGGATACACATGGGGTGGCGCGGGAGGATGGTGGTTAGCCGCAGCAGCGGCTGGCGTGGCTGGGAGGACGGCCATGATTGGTCAGCGTTGGGTTGGAGAGACTGGCGACAAGACGGGAACACGCCAACGGAGGACACCAAATGGCGCGATGGCCCTGCCGCCGCAGCAGCGGCGGCGGTCTCGCCTCAACGGCCGTCTCGCTTCGCCGCGCTTAGCGTTGTGAGCCCCCGCGCCCCTGGTCTCGGCATGCCCGAATTCGATAATTTCGTGAGGGCTGCCCTCCGAAACTCACCAGAACCTGGGAACACAGTTTCAGGAGAGGGGTCGGGATCCCGAGCCGCGCCTGCGGCGCAGGAGCCCCGCGCCACCGCAGCGGCGGCGGCGCGCGGGCCCCAGGATTTTGAGAAGTTTGATGTTAATTATTTTTTGAGTTATGAAGAGAGGCTCGGCACTTCGTTTAAGCAACGCAACCAAGCGTTGAAATGGTGGCGCCATCTGAATGAAGACCCAACTGCCCCGTTCGAGTCAGAAGCCAAGTGGTTCGACGATGCGGGGCCCACCATGGTCGCTGTTTGCGACCACGGTGCGAGAACGAGCTTTGGTTTCAAAAGCGACGAGGAAGTCCCTTGGCGGTGGCAACAGATGGTGGCGACGCTCAGGGAGGAAGATATCAGGGAGGTCGTGGGGGGGCCCCGCAGCAGCGGGACTCTGATCGGCTGTTCCCTCGAAGTCCGGCCAAACAGCTACGACCACATGCGCCGGAGTATTGTGCGCGCGCGACAGTTCGCGGGGCAGCGGGTGAAAGTGAAGCTGCCGATGTGGGATTTCGTGTTGCACCGCGACGACGGGACAGGCGTACGCTTACACCCGCACTGGGGCGACAGGAAGGTCGAAGCTCTGCCCCTCGTCCCCCGCGCGGACGCGGCGAGGCCACCGGCCGCGGGTTTGGGCGGGAGCGACGGGTCAGGAACTTTTCGCTGGCACAAGGACCTCGGTGTGCACCCATGGAGCGCAAGGTCAAGCGCGGGGAGGCCGACGCCTTCTCAGGGGCCCCGCATCAGCGGGGCCGCGGCGTCCAGCACCGGGCCCTCGGCGTCCGCAGCAGCGGCTGGCTAACCAGTAGTTTGGGGGCCGAAGAGCTCCCCAGACGATTTGGTTGCGGAGTAGATGGCTCCGCAGCAGCGGGGCTCGAATGAAGGGCGCGTTGCATTTCGGCAGGGGCGCGCGCGTCGGCCGCCGAGATCGGGGGCGCGCGTGCAGGCGCCGTGGCGCGATCTTCGTTCTGAAGTCTTCCCTCTCCTCCCTGTCCCCCCATCCCGCCGCCCTCAACGTCGGCTCCTCGCCGCCCGTTCCTCGTCGCTCCACGCCTGTTCGTTCTCCTCCAGCTTCCTCTCCCGCTTCCTCGTTCTCTCCTTCCCATTTTTCCCTCCATCCCATTGCATCCCTGGCACCCCAGCGAAGTTCGCAGTTCGAAGTTTGAAGTTCGGAGTTCGAAGGTCGCAGTTTGAATTTCGAAGCTTCGCACTTCGAGGTTCGATCTTCGAACCTTCGTCATCTCGTCGTCGTAATCGTCGTCCTCGTTCGTCGTCGTCGTTCCTCGTCGGCGTCGATTGTCGTCGTCGTCGTCGCTCGTTGTCGTCGTCGCCGTCGTCGTCGTGGTCGGCGTCGTCGTCGTCGGTCGTCGTCGTCGCTAGTCGTCGTCGCTGGTCGCCGTCGTGGTCATCGTCCTCGTCGTCGTCGCCGTCGTCGTCGTCGTCCTCGTTGTCGCCGTCGTGGTTATCGTCCTCGTCGTTGTCGTGAAACGCCCCACGTAGGAGGAGCAGAGAAGGGAGCAAGGAGAAATGAGCACGGTGGAGGGAGGAGGGAGGACTGAACAGGAAGAGGAGGGTGCAGATGGAGGCAGAAGGGATGAGGTAGTTCAGAAGTGGGAGCAGCAGACTGGCGCAATGGGAAAAGCCATGTGAGTGCAGGGAGGGGTGGAAATGCGATAAAGTGAAGCCGCAGCCGTTGCAGGTCTGCCTCCCGCCGCGCCCGCCCGCCTCCGCGACGGAACCGCGCAGGGGCCGCTGCCGAAGTCTCCGCGGCAGCGGGGACTGCCAGAGGAGGCTCCTTCGCGGCCTCGCGCCGCTATGGCGAGCATCGCGGGCAAGTGCGACGTCGATGCTCATCGCGACGGATGGCAGTGTTTGGAGCTGGGCGACCACGGTGGTGCGGTTTATCGAGTGGCGCAATCGTTGCCGCCATGCACGCGCCGTTGGAGAGAAGGGCCAGATGCTCGTCGACCAGGCGCGGCAGATGATGGAGGAGGCGCGCCGCGCCGAGGAGAAGGGCAAGATGATGCTTGAGATGTCGAAGAAGACGGCGAAGGACATCCCAGGCAATATTCGGTACTTCTGCCGCCAGCCGCACCAGGGGAGCTGAGCGGCGATCGGAGCTGGGCCGATAGAGGAGGATGAGGAGGAAGAGGAGGGAGGATGAGGAGAGGAGGAGGAGGGGGGATGAGGAGTTGGAGGCAGCACGCGCACCCGCACTAAGAGCCGCCAGCCGCGCCCGTCTCCGAGCTTGAAACCCGAGCTTGGCTGGAAGGGTGGAGGGTGGTATCAGAAACAGCGCAGGACAGGGATGGGAGAGGTCACGCGTCCGCCGCAGTAGCGGCGGTGGTACGGCAGTTCTCGCGGCGGCGCGGCGGTCGCTGAGAAATGGAGCACGTGCGAGGGCCTGCGTGCGCTTAATTATGAGTGCCTCTCGTCCCCTCCCCTCCTCTTCCTCCATGAGATCTTTCTCCTGGTGCATACCCCCTGCCAGGTCTCGCCCTGCTCCTCTCCCTCTGTGTTCGTCCTGCCCTCCCCGCACGCCTCGCCTCCGTATCCGCCCCCCCTCGTCCGTTCCTGCCACCAGCCACGTGGGGCGTTCTCAATCAACACCCCATTGAGTGTCCCCATGTGAAGGTTGCCCTTGTCATGAGGGCGGACTCGCAAGAGCCGAGTGGCTGAAGAACTAGTAGTTTGGGGGCCGAACAGCTCCCCAGACGACTTGGTTGTGGAGTAGGTGGCTTCGCAGCAGCGGGGCTCGAATGAAGGGCGCGGTGCATTTCTGCAGGGGCGCGCGCGTCGGCCGCCGAGATCGGGGGCGCGCGTGCAGGCGCCGTGGCGCGATCTTCGTTCTGAAGTCTTCCCTCTCCTCCCTGTCCCCCCATCCCGCCGCCCTCAGCGTCGGCCCCTCGCCGCCCGTTCCTCGTCGCTCCACGCCTGTTCGTTCTCCTCCAACTTCCTCTCCCGCTTCCTCGCTCTTTCCTTCCCATTTCCCTCCATCCCAGTCCATCCCTGGCACCCCAGCGAAGTTCGCAGTTAGAAGTTTGAAGTTCGGAGTTCGAAGATCGAAGTTTGAATTTCGAAGCTTCGCACTTCGAGGTTCGATCTTCGAACCTTCGTCATCTCGTCGTCGTAATCGTCGTCCTCGTTCGTCGTCGTCGTTCCTCGTCGGCGCCGATTGTCGTCGTCGTCGTCGTCGCTCGTTGTCGTCCTCGCCGTCGTCGTCGTGGTCGGCGTCGTCGTCGTCGGTCGTCGTCGTCGCTAGTCGTCGTCGCTGGTAGCCGTCGTGGTCATCGTCTTCGTCGTCGTCGTCGTGGTCGTCGTCGTCCTCGTTGTCGCCGTCGTGGTCATCGTTCTCGTCGTCGTCGTCGTCGTTGTCGTGAAACGCCCCGCGTAGGAGGAGCAGAGAAGGGAGCAAGGAGAAATGAGCACGGTGGAGGGAGGAGGGGGGACTGAACAGGAAGAGGAGGGAGCAGGGAGAGGTAGAAGGGATGAGGTAGTTCAGAAGTGGGAGCAGCAGACTGGCGCAAGGGGAAAAGTCATTTGAGCGCAGGGAGGATGGCATTGCGATAAAGTGAATCCGCAGCCGTTGCAGGTCTGCCCCCCGCCGCGCCCGCCCGCCTCCGCGACGGGAGCGGCCCGGGGCATGGAGCAGCAAGGCGCGACTGGAACCGCGCAGGAGCCTCTGCCGAAGTCTCCGCAGCAGCGGGGGCTGCCAGAGGAGGCCCCTGATGCAGTTCCGCAGGGACTGGCAGATTCAGCACCAGCCTCCGCAGCAGCGGGGGAGGAGGTTGCAACGGAACTTAGGACATTGCTTTCGTCGCTGTCTGGTGCCCAGGAAACCGTTTCGCGGAGCCTGGTGGTTGCTCAGAAAATGATGGATCAGGGCGAGATCGCGGAGGCGCGGAAGTTAACGGCCGCCGCCAACCTCGTTTTAGTCACAACGGCTAAGGAGGCGGCTTCCGCAGCAGCGGGGGCATCCGTGGTGCCAGGCGCCGCCGCAGTGGTAATCGAG